TAACAAACAAACAATTCTGAGACGTACAGTAATACAAAGAATATGCTAGAAATTCGATAAACCATGCTGTTAATAGCAACGTATAAAATAATATCTTAATAGATTTGTTAATACCGTTTAAAGCTTTACAGATTTTAGTACTTATTATAGCTATATAAAGTGTTACGAGAAAACTGCTCAATAGTGGAAATAACAGTACCTAAACGGCACTTAAGTTATACTTCAACAAATATGTGAAACGTGTAGAAAAAATAGTCCATTTTATAAATAGTATAGTAGGAAATTTTACTCAATTTTCCACTTCGCCAGATAGTTATGACTGTGATGATGCAATTAAATGTCATAACTGCAACACGTAACGAACGGGTTTTAAGCGTTTTCCTGGATATACATATATATCAGCAGTTGGTCAATGTCCTCTACTGATAAAAGAGCGACTAATCTCCCGTCCACACACACATGCCAAAAATGGCACAGCTGAAACTACCTCCTATTCTATTGGATCAATCTACCTTACCTTGAAGGTCGTCAGCGTTCGTTTGCCCTTCTCGTTCATTTATCAGCGCAAACGTGGCGTATAGTTCTTAGGGCTAGGTTTTCTTTTTCCCTCGTTTATTGTTGCTGGGTCTACAGACGTTCAATGACACCAGCGTAGAAAGTTGTGGAACTAAACAACAGTGCAAGTTTTATTGTACTTAGAAGTGTTGGAAAGCCATGGAAATAATATTTAATAACGCCACCGATAGCCCAAACACCGAAGTAGAAACTACAGTCAAAGGTAAAGTTGGGTCGTTAAAGTTTATATTTGCAAAATCTTGCCTTTATTTCGGAAGTATTCCAATATACTTTAAAATGAAAACTCATTTATTTTGCATATATTTTGAAATATTATCGTATCAATCCTATTTCGATAACTGTTAAAAAGAAGAAAAAAAAAGATTACCTGTTACAGTGTTAGGTCACTATATAGTATACTTAAGTTAACTTTTAAGTTTTTTTTAAGATAGTGTTGAGTACTGCCAAAAGAAAAAAACTACTGGCCTTATTTATGAATATGTTATGTTAAAACGACTGTAACATGTATAGCTTTAAAAAAAACATAACAGCATAATGCATTCTACACAGAAATTAATATTATCAACTAAGACTAACCTTAAAACTATTACTTGTATATGAGTACTAACTCAGTAAATTACTTTTACTAGTAATACAGTTTCTTAGTACTAGTGTTAAAAAGTCGTTTTTGTTCGAACAGAAGTTCAGGAAATACAGTCACAATATCTAACGAAAAATAATATATAGTTTTAACAACAGATTAAAGAAGGGGCTGCAGTAAAGTACATTTTTTTTAGTTACAAGCCTGGAGACTAAATTATATGGTTTAGGCCTATGTCTCTGTCGCTTAGGTTTCTCAGTTTTTACAGTCACGTAAACAACAGGAGAATCGTACTAAATGAAGCTCATAAAGTTATGACCTGTTTTATATGGTTGTCTCACCATATAAGTATTAGATCGGTCTAAGTTACTTGTTTGTTTGCATAGTTTGAAAACTTAATAACAGTTATTTTGCACCTATGTCTAAAGTACTTTTAATTCTAATAAAGGTTTTCCTTAAAATGAAGATTTCATTTGTTGCGTCTCCGTTTGTTAATTGATTTCCCGTAAATTCGTTCCAATGAAACTAGCGACACAAGTCCTTACTTAATAAAATTGGTTTATTCTTTCCGAATATAACTTTACGATACACTTAATTTCAACAATCGCGCTAAAACAAACGCTATAACAACGAACGTGCTCAATAATACTCTCTGACTGCAGATCAATTACTCACTGTCTACACACACATTGTCTCGTCACGTTGTCACCCTCTTATATATATATACCAGGCTACCCTATATCTAGTAATCTCCCGACTATTCCCGAAGGTTCGAGAGAAGTGGCGTAACACTAGTCACGTGACCTCGCTGACGCAACACATTCTTTCACTGTATGAATATTATCGAATAGTATTGTTGGGATGTGTTCTTTCGTCGGCGGCTTTTTCTATATTATCTTTTGAAAATATTTCAATTTAACGTCCAGTCAATTTAATGATAATATATTTACTTATAGTCCTTCTTTAACGTTTGTACAAACTTGAACACCTGTGCTGCCATTAATTTGCTGTAGGCCTACGTTACAAGTAACGTTAATTGGTGTAAAACAAATCAACTTACTTGTACAAAGTAACCGAGATAGTTCACATACTGACTGGTTCAATTTATATTTTGAAATCATTCGCTTTCACTAAAAGCTTACTTCACTATCTCTTTTACTAACTTTCAGGCCATTCTACTTTTGAAACACCCTTGAAACACCTCACTTTCTAATTAACCTAATTACGTATCACAGAACTTTAAACTTGATCTTGATAATTCTAGGACTTGCTTGTTGCACCATCTAACTAACATCTAAATTAAAATAATTAGAACGTTCTTTTACTTATCGTCACACGATGTGACAGCGATAAGTTTACGCACTTACAACGCTAAAATCTGGAGTTCGGTTCCCTGCGGAGGACACAAATAGTCCACTGTGGCTTTGCTAAAAGATAAAACAAAAAAAAATTGATTACATATTTTTTCTTAACAAGGCCTAATGTTTTGAGATCGAAAGTTTTAACGTAGAATCTACTAATTATTTATGTTTTGCCTAATAAACTACATTAAACTTTATTCTTAAATAACTATTAAGTATGCTCACTTCAAAGAAAGAACAAAATCTGCATTACACTAAAGATGATCCGTGTGTGGTTTCTTTCTTATTTCGTAGTACATTATGTGTGAATAGTTATGATTATTTAACAAAACATGGTATAAATATTTTGGAAAAGTCGTGCAATTCTTTTGCCTTTGCCCAGTTAAGACATCCCAACGAAGAGTAACAGTTTAACGGAAAAGTAATACGAGTTTAACAGCTGTAAAAACCTCTAAATATTAATTACTTGTTTACGAACTTTTAAAACTTATGGTACGTGTATCATATGTACAAAATCAAGCAATTAACAGAGCAGTCAAGGACTATATTTCATATAACTAAAAAATAAGAAATTGTTTACACTGCTTCGACTTTAAGTTTTTGTTATTTTTTTCTGCTTCACTGTTGCTCCTGAAATCGAGTCTGACAGATACAGAAACACAACGTATAATTCTGTAAATTAAATAAATGGTACGCGACTTAACTAATCAATGAATTAATTGTTAATTAATATATAATTTAAAAAATACTTGAATAGTTATTAGGCTTTAAAACTATAACTCAACACCAATTTAAAAACTACACTTATCTAGAGATCTCAAGTCCACTGGTGTGCATAAAGGCAATCACATTTTATAACACGTAATCGTACATGCAGTGTATGTTAAAGATATTATACCGTATGTGTGTGTGTGTGTATAGATATATATCTAGATCAACCAGTTGGATTTTGGTTACGCTCCATTCGTTTGAGTCGCTTAGCAACACAACTGTGACCTAATATCTGCTGTTTTACGAGGGCTGGCTTGAATCACACTTTTTAGATTTTTTAGATCGTTTTACGTTTCAGTTTAAGCATATTCTTAGCTTACGTAGACATTTCTAAGTTCTTGGAGAATTTTAAAAATATCTAAAGTAGAAGTTAGCGATCATAATTCGTATTGTTACGTCTCCGTTTGTTAATTAATTTTCCGTAACTTCGTTCCGACGAAACTTTAGCGACACAAGTCCTTACTTAATAAA